CTCCGGGTACTTTGGGGCCAGCGGCGCCCCCAGGTGGCAGGGCCCCGCCGGCGCTCCAGGTCCGGGTCGGGGAGCGATTCAGGAACCTCGCTCCTCTCACCCTCTTTCAGGGAGCCTCGCGGACTCGCTTCGCCTTTCAGGAGTTACTTCTGCTTCTGAATATTCTTTGCAAGCATCTTTGGGGGCTCCTTCTGCTCACAGAATGCAAGTGGGTGCGCGAGCGCTTCTGAGAGCAAGAATCCTAAATGCAAGCGCAGAGGGGACAAGTCACGCGAAAGTCACCCCAGCTCCGGGGGAAGCAAACACGGAGCCCCGCCCTGCCCCTCCGGCCGGCCGCGCCCATTCGCCTAGGTCTCTGCCGACACCCACTCTTAGGACTTGTCTCTGGGAGTAGCCGTCTTGCCCGCCAGGTTACCCACCCTCAGGATTTGGGGGCTTTGGCCACAACCCCACAAAAGCTTAAGTTCTCCAGCTTTGGCCTTGGACAGGGACACTGGGGAGGCGGCAGAGCCACGGCCCCTTCCCCACAGCTCCACCAGCACCTGCACAGGGTCCAGCTCTCCGGCTCCCATGAAGTGCCCCGCCTCTCTTGCTCTCTTGCCTCCCCCTAAACACTCACACACTCCCCCAGTGTTTCCCAGAAAGGGGGGTTCAGGGTGTATAGAGACAGAAGTAAAAGGAGCTGGGGTAGAGGCTCCCTTTCACCGTTGGGGCCAGCCTTCTACTTCATGCCACCCTATCTCAATGCCAAGTGCAGACACTCAAGGGACAGGGCTGAGAGCTCAATGGGCTGCCCGGTGGTGACTCGCCCTCACATTCACTCCTCATCTTCCTGAAGGAGGCAGCTGCATTCAGAACAGAGGAACCGAGGCATCCCCGGACACTTGGCCACCTCTCTCTGGCCCTGCCATAGGAGGGAAAATCCCTGGGTCTAGGGTAGAAGCCCCTCGGGTCCAGAAAGGAGGGAGCCAAGTCCTTCCTCTGCCCCTCTTGTAGTGGAAGCCCCGAGGCAGCCACCCGTTCTGTGCCCCCAGAGCCCCAGCCCAACCTGAGGCAAGCTAAGCTGCAGAGGGAGAGCTGAAGGAGGAGTGAGAATTCTTCCGCAGACTAGAAGGAGCACCTGGGAGAAGCTATTGACCACAGACTTGCAAGGCGAGTCCGGGCTAATGTGTTCCAACTCCATTTCTCAGACAGAGAAACTGAGTCTCGGTAAGGGTGAGAACTACGGGCCCAAGGTCACAGAGTCAGCACCCTGGCTGGAATCATGAATCCTTTCTCCTCTCCCCTTCTCAGCCACCAGTATTAGACAATTAACCATCTTCAATGAAGACTGAGAACGAGGGGGAAAGAGGCATCAGATCTCTGGTTCGTACATAAGTATACTTCAGAATCTTTATCGCTGCCTGCCTAGCACATGCGCACATGCTCAGATGTGCTCTCCCCCCACCCCAACACACACACACACACACACACACACACACACACACACACACGCCAACACTCCCCCAGACCTCTACCTCTCAGAGCCCTGAGGCTCAGCCAACACCTCCCAACCAGGAAGGAATGGCTCCAGCCAGGGTAGCCTGGGACCTAGATGGCCCGGATTTTCTTTGCATGTTCACCACTGTCTAAAAGGTCTGGAGTCACTTAGGGCAAAGGAAGCAAGGCTTGGAATAGCCAGGTGGGTGGACTGGCTGACAGATTCTCCAACAGACTCAGAAATAGGGAGAGGGATGCTACTGCCTGGGAAAATTGGAGGAAAAGAGGTGATTGACTGGAAAACTCCGATCACCACCCCCCCAACCCCTTCCCGCAGCCAAGCTGGTGCCCAGCCTTCTGCACGGTCTGGGGCTGGGGAAGGACTCAGCTGCCTTCCCCAGCCCCGGAACAACCCAGAGTATGGCAGAGCACTGGATGCTGTTGCTCCCCCACTCTCCTGCTGACTGCTGCCAGCACTCTGTTCACCTCAGGGCAACTGATTTCAGGCCCTCGTTTCCCTGGATAATTGACTGCTCTCTCACACCTTGATCTCGAGTTTGTTCACATCCTGCCTCTGGGAAGGAAGGAGATTCAGAAGCATCCATAGCCCAGAAAACACTTGAGATTTCCCTAGAGTACAAAGGGAGGTGCTGGATTTTTATTTCCTCAAAATATCTAGCCCAGCGCTTTAAAATTCAATGCGGGTGCATAAGAGGCTGCAAGCTACAGCATGCCGAACAACTTTGGGCAAATTCCCACCCTTACTCTTCCTCCAGACCTATTTGCCCATCAGCTCAATGTGAGCCCTGGAAACCTTGCAAACTCTGGTGTTACTGGCTCCACAAATTGCACCCACCCCCTTGCTGCTGGAGGACAGTTTCCTGGAATGGAAGGGTAGGCTCCAGAATTCCCCAGGATCCCAGACCTAGTCCCTCTGCACAGGCTGGAGCAGCCAGCAGCGGAGTGAGAGCGGGTCAGAGGCCAGACAATGGAGCCCCTTGGGTACCCTGGCTAGATCAAAGGCAGGCTTCGAGGGTTAGACACCACCAGAAAAGGGAGGGAGCAGGAGCTTCAGGAGGAAACCAGCCTGCTCCACTGCTGGTCAAGTCACTGTGCCCCTCAGCACCCTCACTGGGTGCTCTGCATTCTGAGCCTTGTCTGCAGTCAGGAAGGGAGTAGGAAGAAGACAGGCCCCAGGCTTTGCTGGAAGAATAGGGGAAGAGGCACAAAATTCAGCCCTTCCCCTCTACAACCCTACAGACACCCATTCCTAACCCTTTCACCCCAGTCCTCCACACCCACATCCCTCCAGCCTCTGCTTCAGCCATCCAACGAGGGGAGCCACACTCCTGGACTCACACTGATACAGTCACAAATACAGCACATACAGAGTCACTCACAACTATTTCTCCCCATACACGGTCATCCAGATACACTGATAACTGTATGTATGCACATGCACAAACATATACACAGTTACAGACCCCAAATATCCAAAAAGGACATACACACCTCCCGGCTGTGATACCTGGAACCATCATCATAAAATGGAAATCTACCATCCTTAAGTCTTAAAACACCAATTTTTTTTTTTACCTCAAATATGGTGATAATCACTTGCCTTGCCTTTCCTTTGGTTCTCAACTACCCAAGTTAGATTGCCTTTGATGACACTAGGCAGATGTTTGCTGCTTGTATCTCTGGCACAATACCCAGCACACTGTAGGTGCTCAATAAATATTTGAGGAAAGAAGAAAGAAGCCAGACAGGAAAGAGATCTCCACGACTGGAGGCAAATTAAACTGCCTGTGTTTGATCCTCATCAGGTAACTTCTCAGACGGGAAAACTGCTCTTGGACACAGACTGAGCCCTGAGGTAGACCTCACTCACAATCTTCAGATGATCAACAGAGGAACCCAGGCACTGGGGTGCAGGGTGCGCAGATCAGAGGCCAGAGCTGCTGCCCAGAGTGCAGCAGAACCCGGAAGCGGCCTAGCAGTCCGTCTGCCTTCGCACTGCTGTTATTTTAGACCCTTGGGTTTGCAAAGGACACTCAGAACGATCCTCGATCCTCAATCCTCCCTCTCGCCTGGGGCTCCACAAAGCGTGACTGGCCAGAGCCGCCAGGACGTGGGAACTGGGCGAAAAGCCAGTCGTCCAAGCCCCGGGATCCGACTCCTTGTACTGGGAGCCCGGGTCTTTGGATCCACTCCCGCGCTCCGAAACTGATCCGCGGTGCGATCTCGGCCTGGTCCCTTCTGCTCTAGTGCGGAAAGTGGCTCCTGCCATCTGGGTCTGAGGCTAATTTAAGTGGTAACCTCACCAGCGGCCCTCTTTGACTAGGGTGACTCGAGGAAGTGAGAACTGACCCAAAAAGACTGAAACATTTGCATGGGACTCTGCACTTGAGACGTGAGCCCACTGGGCCCAGGACAAGAGGCGCCTCCGAGGGAAGGGAAGGACCAAGATGGGCGGCAGAGGGTAGGGATCACCCCCCCACACACACACTCAGCGGGGACCCGACACATCTGCATCTGAATGCGATGGAGCATCTAAGTCAGGGAGTCCCAGCAGCACCGACACCTGCTGGGATAGAGGGACGCAAAACGGGGGCACCCTGTAAGCGGCAGGAATGAACTTGGACAATAAGCCCCTCTCCTGTACCCTCAGCGGCCCCCACTCCTCCACACAGACACTGTTCTGCAGCGTCTACACAATTCATTTGAAATATGCTTTTCAAGGCAGTGGTGATCTTTAGGAAGGGACAGAATCGAAGGAACAGATTTACATGTATTGTTCCCCCTATAGTTTGTCTTTTCCTGTCCTAAAATCCATGCAACCGCAATTCCAACGGTACTTCTGCCTGCGTAGACAGAAATGTCCCGGAGGCAAGACCAGTCTACGGCGATTTTCCAACACCGGGGAAACGGAGCACAGACCTACAAGGTCCCGGCTTCCCAAGGCGAAACGCGCAGGACCCGTGTAGCGCTAACTGTACGCATCTCCCGAGCGGCGCCTGCGGGGTCCGCTGCGCCCGCCCCGGGAGCCACGCATCTCCGAGTAACTGCAGGGCGGAGGTGAAAACGCGGACCCCGCCCATCCCCTCCAGGAGTTTGACACTGCGGCGGGAAGGCGGTCGGCGGCCGGGAGGCGGGCACCTGGCCTGGACCCCCGCCGCGAGGAGAAACGCGAAGACGCAGACGGCGAGCGACTTCCGCTCTGAGTCCGGGTGGAACGAAAACAGCGCTTTGCGGATTCCCGCGACTCGGAGCGAGGAGCCGAGCGCGGCGGGGAAACAATCCCGAAGAGGGGGGCGCCCAGTGCACCGCGGGGGCGCAGGCGCGGGAGGAGACCGCCCCGCTTCGCAGCGGCCCGACGCCCCTCGGCCTCCTGCGCGGCCGCAGCCTCGGGCCGCACCGCTCGCGCCGCTACGAAAGGAGGCGGTGCCCGCTCCGCCCCGCGCGGCGCCGCGCCCACTCGCTCGCCGACGAATTCGTTGCCGACGACTCGAGCTAGGAATCGCTAGCCTCCCTACGGCTTTCTAGGTTGGTACGCGTCTACGCCGACCTTAAAGAACAAAATAATCACGCTCCAAAAGTCCAATGAACGTTTGTTTTGCTCTCAAATACCCTGGCGGACGAAACGTTTAGGAGGCTGAGTTATCCTGCACGACCTTCGCCCACCTCAAGTTCCCTTTCGCCGTTTCTCCATAAATCCCAGAGCGCCAGCCCCAAGGACAAACGTGAGCTGGGTCTCCTCATTCCGGCTGGTCCTCTGGGACACAGCTCCAGTCCTGAGCCTAGACAACCTTTGCAACCACGCATCATAATAATTTAGGCACAAACCCAAACTCGCCTCTCTTCTCTGTGGCTGGATGCGCAGGGTACGAATTCAGTTCCGAATCCGGTCCGTAAAGACCCTACGTGAGCTGCCTGCTCCAACCGCTCGAAATCCTACGAGGCACGCTCCACACTCAAAATCTTTTCTCCTTTTCTCTTGCAGGGTCCCTCGTTTAAACAGCGTCGGCGCCTTTATTCGCCTGACCCTATGCGAAGGAAAACCCGCCTGATCCGTCATTGTCTGGTCCGCGACCGCCCCCACCCCCGCCCCAATCAGTGTCACAAAAACGCCCCTTTCAACGGATTCCAAACCCTCTTCACCCGGGCTCACCGAGCCTTCAACTTCATTAAGTGCGCGCTACGGCGGCTCTGGAGGAGGCGAAGTTTAAATAAACCCGAGCGGAGAGGGAGGAGGGGTGGGCCTGGCCTGGGGAGGGTTGCTAGTTGAAGGGGAGAGAGAGAAGTGTTTTTGAAAAGGGGAAAAAAGTCATCAGGGGAAAAGCGCTTTGTAACCACGAAGACGCGCCCGCTGTGGCGAGAACAAATTGGATATGGAGGGGAAGTGTCCGCCCCCACCTCAACTCCCGCTCCTGGGTGGTCCGGGGAGCCCCAGGAGAAAAGAAAGATGGGGAGGAATCGGCGGTGAAAAGAATTAACCAGTTTAATTGGGCTGCAGGAGAGAAGCGGGGAGAGGTTCACCGATGTGCCTCGATCGCCCAAACCTAATGCCCTTCAATAAATTAAAATAAAATGCCTGCCCCTAGCCGTGGCTGAAAGACGTATGTCAAAGTTTGAGCATCAAGGCTGTTCTCAGCCGTAGAAAGTAAATCTGCAAGATGGGGTAAATTCTGTCCGGAAAGACCCCTCCCCCTCCTTGTGGCCTCGGGCCTCCCGGCGCCGGATGAAAAGGAATGAAATTGAACGAAATTGAACGAAATGAAGTGAAATTGACCAGTGAAATTCGCCAATTTTCTTCCCCTTTAAACTGCCCGCTCTCAACAGCACTCTCTGAACCCCAGGCCGATTTCTTAGCATTTTTTTTCTCACCTCGAGAGATGAAGGTGTGCCCTGGATATTTTCTTATTGTCGCCGATTGTTGGGGCCTGCGGGGGTAGAAGCTCGATTGTCTCCACCCCGACTGGGAGGGAACCCACAGAAGCTGCTTCAGATGGGATGGCCTATTTTCTCCTCCCAAGAGCCTGATCTCCTAAGTAAGCCACCTTACACTGAACACCCACCCTTTGCACCCACAGGGTGGTAAGGAGCCATTTACAGAGTCCCTCTGGTCTGTCGGTTAGGAGGAACAAAACAGAGAGCTCTACCTTACAAATCTTCAATTCCCTCCTCCTTCTTCCTGCTCTTCGCTAGGTCTCAGGTGGGTCCTTGCCAGTTCCTAATTTACAGGTTCTGGGGCCCACACAACCCAATGGACCCCAATTCTAAACACCCTCCCTTCTCCCCTGCCTTCAGTAGTGCAGATCTCTCAGCAATTCTTTTTCTGGTATTTTTCAAAGCTAGTTGGGCATCTGTGGCTTCTTTCTGGCCCCCCGTCCTCAGCCATAATCTGAGCCAGATCTGGCCTTCTTGACCCATGGGGAAACTGGGTCTGGGGTCTCAAGTTTCTTAGAAGCCCCTGGAAGGGTGCATCTCACTCTTCCCCAGTCCTCTTATTTCTACCTTTTCCTACTACGGACCCTCTGATGTACATATAGATAGAAACAAGCAACATGCTCAGATGAATTCACACACACACACACACACACACACACTTATTTTCACAATCACACACTGTGGAGTCCAGAAGGATTTGCTTCTCCTGGAAGTAGCAGTTGAGGCAGTTATCTATCTATCCACCATCAGATATGAATTCTGGCTGACTTAATTTTTTCTAAAGAGGAAAAACCAACTGATACATCTTTTTCTTGCAGCTCCAACCTAGTATCTGGGAGTGACATACGCACGGTAAATGAGATCATGTAAGCTACAAAATGCTTTATTGAGGACAAACACACACATGGTCACGTCCAACCGGTCTCCATTGAAAAGAAATGAAATCAAACTCAGCAACGGAAGTCAACCAAGCAGCCAGCCAGAGCCATTATCCCAGTATCAGCAGGCATTTCCCTCTTTTGACCTCGGACTCTAACCTTACTCTTGCGGGCTGTTTGATAAAACCATGGGTAGGTGGCCCACTGCATTCTACCTCCCCACCCGCCCACAGTCTCTCCACCAGATGGAAAAGGCACCTCACCTCTGGCGAAGAGGCTGCATTGACTACACACACTGCCAACCTTGTCTCTTCTCTGCTGGGGAATGGGCTGAGAGACTTAGGAGTCTCAGCAAATGTTCCTCAGCCCTGGTGTGGTCTTCCTACCCTGATCCTGGTTCTGACCCTCCTTCTATATGGCACTCTGTCCTCTACCTCCTCCTCTTCCTTTCCTCCAGTTGCTAATGCCCAGGAATCTGGCTCGAGAGGTCTTTGGGGCTTCTCCCTGCTTGCCCTCTCACGTTCTCTACAACTGACTCCCTGACCCTGTCTTCCTCTTTCTGTCACGGTCGCCCAACACTCGCCCTCAGCATGTATCTATTTTCTGTGAAGGCTGAACTGCCTCTTTGTGCACCTCTGTATTTCTCCTTCTCTATTTCCTCCGTTGAATGTACAGAGAAAGAGCTAACTAACCATCTTTGTTTCCCCCAAAGCATCGCCTCTCGCCTAACATGCTTGCAAGGCTGGCCACCTGGAGTCCCAGCAAGCTGGGCAGCCCAATGGACTTACGGAAAAGTCCAGCCAGACCGATGGTTTTGCATTCTGGCAATAGATTCTGGCTCTGAGCAAGGCTTAAGGTTTCGGAGGTTTGCTTTCACAGAGTAAGAGGACTGCACTGACTCTCTCCTTCGGTTCATAGTGCACTTTTAACTCTCGCAGGCTGGAGGAGAGAGGGGTTCCATAGTCTCCAGTTAAAGCTTTTCACTCTGACCAGTCCACGGTGCTGAGGGTGAGGGGTAATCCCAAGACAAATCTACTAGTGGCTAAAGAGAAATCTCTCTCCTCTTAGGGACTCAGAAAAAAGACAGTGACAGAGAATCACAAACAGACACATTCATGAACTTGCAGAGAAATAAAAACACAGCTATCCTAAAATACAGCTCACCTCCCCCGCCCAAAGGACAATAAGCAAGGATATGTGATGACCCTCAGAAACACAAACAGGAATCACAAACTCCACGAAAGCCTCCACACACACAGGCGCAGAGAATATGCATCAAGACACATTCACGGAAACTGTGCTTCATGGGTATAATGGCCATGAGCACTAGGCACCCAATAAGCCCAGGCCACACTAAAGTCTAAACGAAAAGATGAGAGTCCCCAGGTGCATTTGAAACAAAACCTTTCTGCAGAACCCCAGGTGGACATTTAGGACAAGAGTGAAAATGAAAGTGCTAGAGGGGTCCCAGGCTTCCCAGAGTCCTGGCCCCATTAACAGCCAAAGGCCAAGGCCACAATATCTCCTGTATCCTATAAGCCCCAGCCCTCCTTTACCTGTCTGGGCTGTCCAGGGCCTTTCCTCACTCCCTCTCTGCCCAGGAGCTAGGGGTCTGGGAGAGCCCCAACTGGCAAAGGGGAGAGCAGGCAAGCAGAGAGAACTGGTGACTGCTGAATTCACATACCTTTATTCAACTGACACCAATGGGGAAGTGGGGGGCGGGGGGAGAGGAGAGACAGATTTTTCTTTTCTTCCACACAAACCAGCAGACGATTTCAGAGTCTCCCCACAGTGGAGAAGTCTAAATCAATGCACACCCAGTGGACAGAGAACGCAGATAGCAGCCCGCTGTACAGATATTTACACATAATTACAGGACCCCCTGCCACAGGATGTGCCCTTGCCCACCCCACCCCCATCTCTCCAGTTCTTGACCCAGACCCTCCTCTCCCACCCCAACCTCATTGCCTTTAGCTACAATAAATATCCCAGGGCCTGGGACAGAGCAGAATGCTGTGAGGGCTGCTGGCCCTGGATGGCTGGACCCCGCCGGCCATGGGAAAGGGGAAAAGTTCCTTCAAAAGCGCCCCGACACAAAAGACGAGGATGTTCCTTAGTGTAGTGGGTACAGGGCTTCTGCAGGGATTGTGGAGACCCCTCTCTTAACCTCTCCGTCCAACTTTGCCTGTGTAGACACTGCTTTAGGCTTCAGAAAAAATGAACTTCTTGGAAAACAGCAAGAAAAAAAAGTTGAAATTTTCTTTTAAGCACAAAGCGGATAATAGGTGTCTTTAAATTATAATATTGGACAAGCAGGGCCTCAAAGTTGGGGAAGGAGTAAGGGAGAGGCAGAAAGGGAGCCCTCTCTGCGCAGTTGGGTGTTTCTGGCGGAATCCGCACGGCCTGGGCAGACATCTCTCCAGGAAAGCATTCCTCCGGGGCCTCTGAGAGGCGCAGAGGCTGGGAAAAAGCGAAGGCTCCCCCCGCCCCTTTAACTGCTCAAACTGGAATGGGATCATGGCTTGCGACTCCATCGCGTAGACCTTGGCCTCTCCCTGAGCGATGGAGCCCGCGTCGTCCCCAACTATCGGCAAGATTCTGAGCATGGAGCCTGAAGTGCCAAGTCACGCGCGCCAACCCAAGGTCTGGAGACTCTTCATAAATAGACTCCCTGAGTTCCGCTGGGGCCGCAGGAGCTCCCGGGAGAGGCTGACGAGTGCGGGCCTCACTGGCCCTGAGCTCGACGTGGTCAGAAGTGGCAGCCACTGAGGCCGGCGATTTTGCTGCCAAACGGGGGCCCTGAGGACAGGAGCGCGTCCCCGGGATGCGAGAGGCGGATGTGGCCGGCGACTGGAGCTAGGGCTGGGGCAGTCAGCATGGCCAAGACCTGGGCTTGACCCCCAGGACCCGCCGCCGCCGCGAATGGCGATCCCGGGGAGCCCTCGCCTCCGCCCGGGGGTGCTGCGCCGCCGCCACCGTGGCCCATGATGTGGTCTATAGAGAAGGAAGGCCTCTGGCCGGCCGCGGCGCCCCCGCCGCCCGCACCACCACCCGCGTCCGTCTTGAGGCCCTGGCGCAGGAGTGCGGTGGACAGACCGGCCGCGGTGCCGGCTGCGGGAGGGCTCAGCGACGCAGGGTAGAAGGCTTTGGCACAGCCCAGCTCCGCGCCAAGGAAGGCGGGCAGGCCTGCGGAGCCAGGGCCTGACCCCGTGCCCGGGGCGGGCGCAGGGGCCGGGGCCGAGGCTGCGCCCGCGAACACCGAGGCCGTCGGAGGTCCGGGTGGAGGAGCAGCGGCGCGGCCTGTGGGGACCGACAGCTGACAAGGCGCGGCGGCGGCGAAAGCGAAGGCGTGCGGGTGCGGGTGCGGGTGCGGGTGCGGGGCCGGGCCCGGCGGGGGTGCGCCGTAGGCCGGGAGCGCCAAGCCGTAGCCGTAGCCGTAGGCGCCGTAAGCGGCGAAGCCCGGCAGGAAGGCGCCAGGGTCCCCCGCCGCCGCAGCCCCGCCACGCAACAGCAGCTCCGGATGAGGGTGCGTGTGTGGATGCGGCGGCGGCAGCGGCTGCCGCTTGAAGCGCTTGCGGCGCCGCAGGAAGCTGCCGTTGTCGAACATGTCGGCCGACTCTGGGTCGAGCGTCCAGTAGTTGCCTTTGCCCGGATTGCCCGGCTCGCGGGGAATCTTGACGAAGCAGTCGTTGAGCGAGAGGTTGTGGCGGATGCTGTTCTGCCAAGCAGGGAACTTCTCCCGATAGTAGGGGAAGCGGCCGCTGATGAACTCGCAGATCTCGCTGAGCGTCAGGCGCTTCTTGGGGCTCTGCAGGATGGCCATGGTGATGAGCGCGATATACGAGTAGGGCGGCTTCACCAGCGGGCTCCGCGTCGCCGCGCCCCCCGACGGCGGTCCCGGCCCGGGCCCCGCCGCGCCCCGGGCCGCCGCCGCGCCTGGCCCGGGGCTTCCCGCTGCGGCGGCCGCCGCCCCCCGGGACGCTAAGGCTCGGGGCTCGCCGTCCGAGCAGCCGCCGGACTCCTCTTCGTCCTCTGCTGCGTCCGCCTCGGCTTCCTCCGGGGTAGGCTCGGGGCCGTGGGGGAGCACGTCCCGGGGGGCGCGGGGCCCGGAGCGGGCAGGGAGTTCCCCCCCACCGCTGCCGCCGCCGCCGCCGCCGCCCACCACGTCTATGTCTGCGTCGGCCTCGGACAGCGCGGCCGGGGAGCTCTCGGAGGACATGATCTCGCAGCAGCAGCTGCCCAGGGTCATGGTGCCGCCGCCGCCGCCGCCGCCGTTCTCCCGGCTCCGCTCCGGCCGCGGCTCGGGCTCCGCCGCGCTGCCTCTGGGGCGAGTGTGTTTTGCGCGCGGGCGGGGAGGGGCGGGGGACTGAGGCGGGTAGGGAGGGGTGTCCCCAGCTCCGCAGCGCCCCCTCGTGGCCCAACTAGCCGCTCTCACCTCTCGGCGAGCCCCCGACTGGCTGCTCCCTCCGCTGCCCCGGGAGCCCCAGCAGGGCGCCTGCACTCGGGGAGCGGGCGGAAGAAGCTGAGGCTTCCCCTGACCCTGGCCGGTCTCGGCCCCCGGTCCCCCCTCCCCGGGATGGGGGGTAGGGGGATTAGTCCCTCCCGCCTCGCGGCTGCCTAAGGCGGAAGAGCGCGAACCCGGGGCGGAGCTCCCCGGACGGGGTGGGGCGGGGCGGGAGGGGGCGGGCGGAGTGCCTCCGCGGAGGGGCCCGGCGGGAACAAACAGCCGCCGCGGCGGGAGCTCGTTCTGGTGGCTGGAGGCAGGTCCTTCTCTTTCCGCAGACCCCGCAAACTCTCCGCTCTCCGGAGCCGCTGCCTTCAGTGCGCTCAGACCCTGGATGTTAAGGTTCGCGCGGGCGCCGACCGCTGCCGGGAGAAGCAGCGGCGCCCCCACCCATCATCTTCCCAAGGCTGCGCCCGGGGGCCGCCAAGACCGAAGGGCGGTTGGAGCTCGAGCGGGAGCCTGAGACGCCCTGACCTAAGCAGCCAGCGGGGGACCCGCCGCAGCTCGAGCGGCTTCCGGCCCAAAGGGAGACGCACTTGAGTGATCGCGAGGAGCAAACTTGGCGCTCTCAGCCTCCGGCCTCGGAGAGGTGAGAGATTCCGGCTGCGCCCCTCTCCTCCCTTCCAAGGCCGAGATACCGCCACACGTCGTCTTTCCGCGCCCCGGGACTCCGGACGCGGGAGTGTGTGCGGGAAGACCCGGGAGCGCGTCGCCGCCGGTCGCGCTCTCCCCGACGCTTCTCTGCGGCGCTCTGGCCGCACTCCCGGAGCCCGGACCGAGCCATCGCCCTGAGTTTGCCTGTACTCCGCCCTTTTCCGTCTCTGTATCCGTTTGTCTTGGGCCCAGTGACTCTGTCTCTCGCCTTCAGTGAATCTCTGCCTCCGTTTCCAGTGGAAACCCTGCGTTTGTCTGGGGGTCTCTAGGGGTCCGAGAATCCCTCGTTCGATTTCCCCCACTCCTAGTCGCACTGCAGGGCTGCTCCCCCTTTCTGGCCGGCCCCGGACCCGCAGGCTCTACGGACCAGCAGCAGGACTCCCACAGAGACCTTCCTCAGTGAACCCTGACCTCAGCCCTGGGCCAGCGTTGCCTCATCTCAGGATCCTGTGCACACAAGGTTGGTCCTGCGCCCTTCTTCTCACCAGCCGGGTTTCTGCCCGTCCCATTTAGCCCCTTTCCCCCGTGCCAGGAACCCAGCAACCAGTAGCTCCAGCTCAGACTGGGCCCGGCTCAACCCGGGAGGCGGCGGGGGGGGGGGGGGTGCGACAGAGGTGATGGCACTGGTCGTCGGCATGGACTCGCTGCTGCCCCGCCAGCGCCGCGCAGTGGTCAAAGCTCCGGCACGCGAGGCCTGAGACCCAGCCACCCTCAGCCGTCACAAGGCTGCATGACAATCAGCAGGCTACTTCCCCTGCCCAGCCTCAGTTTCCTCCTTTGCCTAGTAGTTAAGAGCAGGGACCCTGAAATTAGGCTGCTGGGATTGTGGTCCAGGCTTTATTATTTACCAGTTCTGTCACCTTGGGTAAATTTCTTGAACTCTTTGTGTTGTTTGTATCTCTATAAAAATGAGCTTTAAAAAGCACCCCTTCATGCTCATACCTTAAAATAGTTGTATCATTCTAGGCTACTTATGAAGAGGGTATCGAGAGCACTTTGCAGACTCTTGGGGAGAGAGAAAGCGGGTGGAAGTGCTGTAGTCTCCCACCCTGATCCAAGCTCTGGTCTAGCCCCTGACTGGGTTACCCCTGCTGGGATAACCGGGTTATCTAAGCCTCTAGGGTCACTGTACTGAAAAGTCCCCTTTAGATAAGTGCTGGGAGCAGGGTGGGGGCTGCAGCCCCTGCAGGCTGTATCTGAGCACAGTTGATATGAGAGGGGATACATTCTCTCTTTTATCTAACAGTCTCCAGTCTATGGAATAATCTCGTGTAAATCTAACTCTCCCAATCCACGGGTGGGGCAACAGACGCCCAAAAGGGGGAAGGGACTCACCTAGGCTCCTACAAGATAGAGCAGGGCTGGGTGCTTGTCACTTAATCTTCATGATAGAGGTCTCCATCCTCCCACGCCATCTGGCTAAGAGCAGAGGCGAGTGGAAGCAGGTCTGGCTGCTCTGATCCTGGGAGAGAAAGTCCTCCTGTCCCTCCCACACCCACACCCCTCAGACTGAGGGGACCCAGCTAGTGTGCTGGGTGTGCATACACAGACTCCCGGCTAAGAAGAGAAGAGGGCCAGTCTCCAACCAGGGACAAGATATTGGGCAGGGACTAGAGGCCCGGGGGATTGGAATTCTCTAAAAGATAAGGCCCTCCAGGGGGAAAAAAGGAAAAATAAGATGGAGGGGCTTTGGGAAGAAATTTTTTGCATCAGCCCAAATAAGCTCACATACCTAGGGTTGCTGGATTTAGCAGATTTATTTTATCTGGCAACCCTACACCTACCCTAAGCTTCCGTTTTACTTCGTGGAGACTCTCTCACACTCACAGATACCCCACACTGTGTACCAGTATCAGCTGCAGCCCAGCTCTCTCTGCCAGTATCTAAGGAAATAGAAAACCAACATTGGCATCGTCTTACTACATCTCACCATCAGAATGTCCTCATTTCTAAAGTGGCAGGCATGAATCAGTAACTCCCTTCCTTACTAGCACTCTCAGGGTCTCCAGGCTCCAGCCCTCCTGCCCAGCTTCAGGGGAAGACCGGCTGAGGCATGTGCTGTCCGGGTATCCTGGGTTCCGATGTTCCAGGCAAAACTGTATGGGCAGCTGCAGCTGCCACCCCAGCCTCGGCGTGGCTCAGCCGTGTGCTGTACACTGCTGAGCCCTAGGGTAGGGAAAAGGGATGCTGGGTGCCTAGCCCCTATTCTGCAGTGTGGTGGTGGAACATGATCTTAAGGAATCATCCGGACCCTTCAAAACCACATACACTTTTACAGAAGTGGAAACAGGCTCGGGAGATCATGTGACTTTGCCAGGCTTTTAAAGCCCCTCATCCTACTCCCAGGCTTGGCTTGGACCCAAGTGTCAAGACTCTCAGGCCAGAGCTCCTTTACTTATCCAGATAGGTCTGCTTAGCCCCTGACCAAGCTCCACTCTTGCCTGGGGAGGGCTGTTTCTGGGAGTCTCTCATCCCTCCCAAGGTTCTAACGTAAATCTAGAAGGGCCACTTTGTCTTGAACAATGCCAGGAGTAGGTGAGCTGGGGGCTGGGAGAAGGGTGGCAGCACATGTGGCATGCATTCCGTTTTCTGCACTTGTGCCCTGGCACTGGCGTTCCCACTATGGGCTCGGCCTCTTCTCTGTCTTCCAGTGGCATTCGCCATCTGGGGTGAGTCTGTCACTTCCTCCAGGGAAAACCTTCAGCCCCCATGCTTGAAGCCTTCAAGAAACAGGAGGCAACAGGCTCTGTGGGTCTTGGTTACAGCGTCACAAGTAGGGTCCTGCGGCCTTCTTCCTCTGCCTTACTGTTTGGCCACCTCCCTTGAGCAGCCAAGAAACAACTGGAAGGAGGCGTTTGGGGGCGCCCGTTTCGGGGAGTGGGGGCTGGGCAGGGAAACAGGAGGATCCACTCCGGAGCGTTTCGACAAGCGGGGAGTTGTTGCATGTTTATTGTGATGTGTTGCTAGCTCTTGGTGGCCGTCCCTCCCTCCGTATATGGCTCCTCCCTTGCCTTCTCGTGGTCGCTGTAGCCGCGCTGTTCTCTACTAGGGGAAAACAAGAGCTATGAGATGGTTATGAGAATACGATGCAGTCATCCCGAAAGTGGTGGTGAAGAGAGGCGCGCAGCTAGCAAGAGGCCGGGACGCTGCAAGGCACGACCTCACGCGGCCTTGCCTCCTTGTGAGTTCTGCGAGCCGAGCTTGGCCTGATCCGGAGAGGGGGACACCCCGTCTGCACTCTTCTCTAGTCGTATTCACAAACCTTGCCAGCCTAGGGCAGAGCGGTGGAGCCTGCGCAGCCGCCCGCACTTCCCGCTCCTCCATCCCGCGACGGCTCTGGGGCGAGACAGTTGTTTGGCCGAAGCCCGGCCGTCTCCGGATCTCTTCCTCCGCCCCATGTCCCCCAGCTCCTGAGCGATTGGTTTCCCGGGCCCAGGCGGGAGGCTCCGGCCCCGGAGACCTGCAGGGACGAACCTCAGGCGGCGGGGCTCCGGGTCAGAGTTCAGGGAGAGGCCCGACCCACGGCTTGCACAGAAATGCAGAGCTCCCAGCGTGTGCGCCTTCGCGCCCGCGGACCACCTGCCCGCCCACTGTTGCCCAAATCTCCGCGTACCCTCCACCTCTCGGAGGAAATGTCTGTCTCTCCTTTCACCCTGCTTGACCACGGTCGCCCCCCAGCGCCTCAATCCTGGGACTTCGTAGTGGGGGGCACCCTTGAGCCCTCTACGGCCCCAGCACTGCGCGGCGGCGGCGGCGGCGGAGACCTGGGCGAGCTGCGGAGCCGGTCGAGTCTGGTTCGTGGGAAGAGGGTTGCGGGCCCAGGCGAGGGTGAAAGCAGCGCGGCTCCGCAGCCGCCGGACCTGGGGCTCTGGCTTTACAGGCTCCCGCTTGGTGGGGAGACAGCCGAGCTGGGGGCAGGGACACTTCCAGGTGTGTCGGAGCGTCAGCCTCAGGGGTAAGTGCCCCTACTGTCTAAGTGCGCCCTGGGTTTCTGGGTCCGAGGGTCTGTTTCTCTGTGCGCCTGTGTGCGCCCTCAGGACGGCGACGGCTCTGTGTATCTCTGGCGCCTGTCCCGAGTGCTCCCCGCCATCCGCACGATTGCGGGGACTGCGCTCTGCGGTGGAAGCCTCGCCATCCAGGCCCGCAGCTCTGCCCCAGAGCCCGAAGCGGCGCGACCTGGTCGGGGTTGCGAACCCACTCCGGTCCCACCGCGTGACCCTGGCGGGGAAGGAGGATGTGTGGGTGCAGACCTGGGTGCGGGTTTGGGACAAGGCCGGGCCAGAGAGGAGAGCGTGCGAGCACGGCCCTGCGGAGAGCCAGGGAGGCTAGAAGCCTCCCATCGCAGGTGGCCCGCTGGAGCAGCAAGACCTCGGGCCCGACGCAATTCCGTAGCCCTAAAGTGGGGCGAGACAGGAGGGAAGGGAGGAGGGAGCCCAGCCGTCCCAACCAGGTGACCAATGCACACCTGCCGTCGCCTTTAGCCTTTCGGAGACCCAAGCAGGGTAGCTGGTGAGACCGTAAGTCCCTGCGCGGCTGGAGACATAAGCCGGTTGCCTGACGGCTCCGGAGCCCGTGCCGAGCCGCGTCAGCCCCACAGAAGCAGAGCGAGGAGACCAGAGGGCGTCTCGGCCTCGCCCCGTAGATGCAGGTGACCGATTCCTGGGGAACAGCGACCTCTGGAGGAGCGGCGCGTCCACGCAGAGAGTCAGGAGCTAGACGACCGGGTCTAGGACCAAAGCGCCCTTTCTCCGCCCCACCCCTTTGGCAAAGTCATCCAGGGCCTCATAACCTCAGGACTCCTCTTTGCGCATGCTTGCGTCCCTTCCCAACCGGTACTCAAATCCTTGCTCAAATCCCGCTTCCTGGAGAAGGAAGCCTTCTCGAGAGCCCAAAGCATCTTGCCGTCTTCCTGTTCTGAGCTCAGAACTGAAAGCTGTACCCTTGACTCCAGCCCTCGCACACCGCGCTGTACAGCCGAACTGCTTCCTGCCTCGCCCTTCCCCAAAAGACCGTTAATCCATATACTCCACCCACCCTTTGCATTGCATACTGGGTGTGCTGTTTTTCTTTCCCTCCAGTAAATAAAGACTGAAGTCGTTTATCCCCAAATTGGACTGTAAGATTTCAAAGTTCGTTTCCCAGAGGGGGAAACTGAGACCCAGAGGGAGGGCTGACTTGCCCAAGGTCACACAGCAAATTGGTAGCAGAGGCGGAACTAGATCCCTAACCTCTCATTTCCCAAGCCAAGCCGTTTCATCCATTTCACCTGGATGTGGGGAAGGGCTTATGTTGAGGGGTGAGGCCTGGTTGGGGGAGTTTTGACACAGGAGAGGGGAATCACAGGCTGGAATGGGGTGTGGGGTGGTCACTACTCCAGGGTGGGGCAGGAAGGAGGAAAGTGAGAACAGTTTCCCTGGAAAGTCAGACTCTTCCTTTCCTCAACCCCAGCCCACATGGAGC